TTTATATATGCTTAAAAGGAATATGTTTTTTTCAAATTTTAGGATCCCTAGGCTTTTTATATGTATCTACTAAATCAAGTTGTTAATTGTGTTACTCAAGCACTGCATGTATTCACTAATATTTTGCCTGATTGGCTTTATCAATAATTGAGAAAGGTGTATTGAAATGTCTTTCTCTCTGTGGACCTGTTAGGGTTCACATTCTATATTTATTTATTTATTTATTTTGCCTTGTGGTGCTGGGGATCAAACCCAGGGCCTCATGCACACTAGACAAGCACTCTACCACTGAGCCACATCCCAGTTCTGTATAGTTACCTTTTAATATAATTGTTTTGAATAGTTTGAAATGTAAAGCAAAATACAGAACTATCTGATAGGTTGCTGAGCAACTGTTACATTTCTAAGATAGTAACTCTGTTTCTGGATTTATTTGTGAGGGTTTTTCTTTTATTTCTGCTTAAAAAAAGGCTTCCTATTAAAATATTCAAGTCATAATCCTGTTTATTTCTAGCAGTGGTTTTGTTTTGAAATGCAGCTTTCTCCTGAGAATGAAACTTTCTTGCTTTGTGACTTTTGTGTGAACATTGGGCAGGCGTAGCTTCTTCTGTCTTCAGACCTTTACGTGTGCTTTACTTAGAGTTGTCTCTTGGACGTGCCAAACAACTGTACTTTAAAGGGTTCTGACTGGATCATCTGTCTTTTCACTGCCAAGTTTAGTCTGCTTGTGTTGATTTTGGCTGTTAATTCACTGATATTTGCTTTACCCATCTGAGCTCATAACATTTGTTCTATTTTCCCCTCCTTTTCCCTCTTTCATATTGAGTAATGGTTTTAATTGCTTGTTTGCTTAAATGTCACATTTTTGCCTCTGCTAGTTTAACAACTGTAGATTTTGTTTCTGCCTGTTGGTGTTCCTTGGTGATTTTATGAAGTGTGCCCACTCCACTGCTCCTGAGCTGACCTCCCTTCCAGCAGCACAAGGCTCAGAGCAGTGGGTCTGGTCGTGTTGTGCCACCTTCCTCCTTATTGCTGTCCAGCATGTTAGTCCTTAAAGTACAATCCCACAAAGTCACAATCATTGTTTTGACCTCATAGCGATGTTTATGCACATCCTCCATTTTGTTGACTTCTCAGTGTTGGGCCCTCTCATTCTTGTGTTACACACTCCTTGGGATGGTTTCTTTATGAAGGATGGACATTCCTGCTTCAACATGTGTGTGCATTCCAGAAAACACAATTACTGGAAATATTAGGCCTGTGGGGAAGAGAGGGTCTGTGTAACTGCAGAAGCAAAACAATCCTAATAAAAATTTACCCGAGCCTAATCTCCACTGGCATCAGCACCCAGTGTTGAAAAGCCAGTCCTTTGCAGCTCAAATTATGCTCTCTGTTGAGGTATTGGACCTGGGGTGGCTGCTTTCCGGGGAGCCTGGCCTTCTCCTATGGTAGGAGGACATGCATGCTCACCGAGGGGCTTACTCTCTATAACCCTGTCCTCAGGTCTTGCTCCTCAGGACTCAGTCATCGTCACCTTCAAACTCCAGTCTTTGCCACCTTGTCCCAGTGAAAGGTTGCCTTTGCTTGAATTCAGTTCCAGGTACAACAAGTAGGAAAGCAATCTCTGGGAAAATCTGGGTGTGTGTGAGGGCTTTGCTTGCTTGTCTTCCTGTGGACAGCTGCCCCTGGGTTCTGTGTTGGCTGACCTCAGTGCCTTAGACAAGCAGGTTATGTGTTTTCTTCTGCTGTGACGGTGGCTTTCAGTGGAAGGGTTAGTCCACTTTAAGCTGCTCTGCCATAGGTCATGGTAGTGTTAGGTCAGCTTTGTAGACTTTTATTGCTTGTCCATTTTTCAAGGTTCATTTTTACTTCTTATATATTTTTTATTTCTCATCTAAAACTTTCTGTATTTGAAGTCAACATGAGCACAAACCAATTACTTGTCATTTCTGCTGTTTTCCGGTGACAATAGCCTTGCTTCCTTGTGTGTTTGGTGGTATTTCTATTTCATATTCATTTGTGACTACTCTCCATCATCCCTTTCTCTCTTGGGGCTTTGTGAGATAATTAAGCCTTATAGAAAATGAATTGGTTGCCTATTTTTTAGCTTTCCAAGAAGGGTGTCTAGCTCGTGCCATTCCACATGTGAATGAGAGAAATTCTTTCTGTCACAGAAGTCTCGGGAAAGTTGGACTTGAATTCTCTCCAGATTCTCCTAGTCTGTGGGATTCTGTGGGCCAAATGAGGAATGTCTTTGTCAGGAGGATTAATGCATGCTTTTTCCAGAAGCCAGGGGAGTTCAAGCATGCTCACATCGGCCTCTTTTGGGGCTGCAGTTTGACACAGGAGGCCCATTCCCCTTCCTGTCTGGCAGTGAGGGCCATGGTCAGGGCTCCCATACAGCACTGGTGGCACTTTTCCCAGGACAGTCTCTCAGGCAGCCTCCTTCCTCAAGTTATGCAACTCTAGTGACTGGAGTTTTGTTACTGCTGAGTCTTTTTAATAACCCGCTTTTAACAATGAATTCATTCAGTCTGTAGCAATTTTCATTTCTACTCTTTTTTAAAATTTTTATTAAAGAAATTGTTTTTGTAGCCATATATGGACAACATGACTTTATTTTATTTGTTTATTTTTGTGTGGTGCCGAGGATGGAACCCAGGGCCTCACACACGTGAGGAAAGCACTCTGCCGCTGAGCCTCGGCTCCAGCCCCCTTTATCTTTTCTCCTTTCTGCTTAGACTTCATGGGCAGCTTCCCTCACATTCTATTGTAGTAAGTCTGTTCTGGAAGAAGTTGATTAGTTCCCTTCCTTCTGAGCCACAAAATTCTTCACTGAGTCCAGATTGGTTCTTTCCCCAGTTTACTTACCTTTGGGTTTGTTTTATTGTTATTGGGGAAGAGTTTGAAAAGGTGTGGTGTTTAAAAATGAATATTTGTTACTTTAAAAGTAATATGTGCTCATCATGGAAACACTTAGTGACATTGCTGTTGGAGCACCACACTGTGATCACTGCAGCCAACATTTGGTGTTGCTTCCCCCGACGAGCCCTGTTTCTCCTGCTGTCGGGCTCTTTGGAACACCAGGTGTGGGGCTGTGTTTCTCTCTCTCTCTTTTTCAGCACTGGAAATTAAAGCCATGGCACTCTACCACTGAGTCATATCCACATTTTTTTTTTTTTTTTTTTGCAAAGTTGCAATCCTCCTGCGTCAGCCTCCCTACCTGGGATCACAGCCATGCCACTGCACCTGGCTCTCCACTTCTTTTTAATTTACCTTATCATATGCCTCTTCTTCTGTTATTTAAATTCTTCTAGACATTTTAAATATTTATTACATGGTACTTCATATAAATATTGAATATTTACTTGACTGATAGAAGTTGCTCATTTTATAATTTTAACTTTAAAAGAACTTATAACAAAGACTTCTATGAGTACAGATTTTTTTGTGCATGCTTGATTTCCTTTGGAGATAATGTCTTATGAATTAATAGAATTGTTTAGTGTTTTAAGTAAGCATTGCCTGTTACTTTATCAGAATATTATATAATTTACATTTAATTTTTTAAAAAATATTTATTTTTTAGAAGTAGTTGAACACAGTACCTTCATTTTATTTATTTTTTTATGTGGTGCTGAGGATTGAACCAGGGCCACACCCTTGTTAGATGAGTGCTCTACTGCCGAGTCACTGAGCCACAACCCCAGCCCCAATATAATTTACATTTTCATTAGGGAAACTGGATAGTGTCAATTTCAAAAGTGGCTACACTGGAAGTGCTCGCAGAGGGTCATCTCAGCTCTGAAGTGGCAGCTGTGCTTTTCCCCATTCTCAATGTTAGTGCAGCCGTTTCCTCTGCCCAGTGGTTCCAAACAGGACCACAGAGTGGCCGGCAATGGGGGAGAAGCTGGGAGAGGCTGGCCTCAGCAGGCTCTGGGAATCAGCTCCTTTGTTTTGGTTGCTCTTTGACATCCTCTTTGCCTTTGTTTCCTTAAAGAAGTGGATGTAAAATGCAGCAGTGTGTGTGTGTGTGTGTGTGGGGGGGGGGTGCTCAGGTCACTGTACTGTCCCCCTCAGTGCTCTGAGGTCTCAGGGACTCTGTCAGCCATAAGAACTGAAATGCTCATTATCACAGTTAAAAACGCAGACTTGTTGCCAGGTGTGGTGGTACATGTCTACACTCCCAGTGACTTGGGAGGCTGAAGCAGGAGGATCACAAGTTCAAGGCCAGTCTCAGCAACTTAGTAAGACCCTATTGCAAAATAAAACATAAAAAGGGCTGTGGACAGAGTTTAGTGGTAAAGTACTCCTGGGTTTAATCCCCAGTACTGGTAGAAGGAAAAAAAAAAAAGGAAAAAGATTCATTGAGGGAAATTTGCATGATCTACCTAAAATGAGTGAAGCCCACAGCAATTTTACTAAGGGAGTTTAATCTGTGGGAGCAAAAGTGATAGTTGTGGGGAGGAGAGCAGAGGGGCCCCAGCAGAGGGGCCATGATGAGCAGGAATGCAGTGTGAGTCCAGGAGAAAGAACTGCATGCAGGGGGCCAGGAGAACTTGCCTGGGCAACCGTCTTCCTGGATGCCCTGGAGTAGCATGGCCCTTCTCCACGCCAAGCCAGGCTGATGGCAGGATGCAGGCAGCACTGTGGGTCAGTGAGCCCCAGGCCGGCTCTGTTCTGCCATCTTGTAGCTCTGAGATCCCCAGGCTCCCAGGTGCTGGCACTGAGCAATACTGGAGGCCTTGGTGTCCCCTGAGGGCACAGTGCCTAGCTTGGTGCTCCTCCCTTACAATAGCCAAGCAGGAGGTGGGCAAAGGCCTGTCGGAGTCTGAGGCAGATGGCCTATGCCTCCAGCTCTGGAAAGTGCTGGCCCTGCCTGTTGTGGTCCTGCTCTGCCTGGGTAGTGGTATTGTCAACCACATGCCCTTCCCCAGGGGGTCCATATGTGGGCTCTATGTGCACCACACCCCTAACTTAGAGGCCCTATGTCCTCGCAGGTGGTAACCTGGACCTGGAGAGCCAAGCAGAGGGGAAGAAGGAGGCAGAAGCTGATGATGTGCTGAGGAGTGGCCCCCGGCCCATCGTCCCGTACAGCTCCATGTTCTGTCTAAGCCCCACTAACCTGTGAGTCTCTCGCTCCTGTGTGTGTGTGTGCTGGTCTGGTCCTCCATTGCCATGACCCGTGTGAGCTCAGCAGTCAATATGTGTGGAATGTGCACCATGAGGGGCTGATTCTGTGCACTTTGTCCATGTGAATGGCGTCAGTCAGCAATCCCCTGATGCACACCCCATCACCTCATTTTGTAGATGGGACGCCCAAAAGACAGATGCAGACTGGCCTCTTAATGGGTCCCTGCCCCTGCCCGTGGTATGGCTCATGGCTGCACACAGGGACTCTATATCCATCATGCGTGCCCACCCTGCCTTTCCATCATGCTGTTGCCCATGTATGCGTGTGCAGTGCATGTTCCCATTTCGAGCATGTGTTCCCTCCTGTGCTGATCTGTCATGGATTCATCCTCCACTTCTCAGTTCAGTGATTCGTTAATCCAGCTGACATTTATGTGTGAACAGCATCTTCGGTGTTGGGAATATGCATCAGTCACCAAGACAGACAAGAGCACCTGTCCTTACCAGGTGCATGGGAATGGGAGAGGCAGATGACCAAAGGGAGAAGTCAGGGGGTCACTAGATGCCACAGTGATAAGTGCTAGGAAGAAACATGGGGTGGGGTTGGGAAAGGTCAGTGGGGGCTCAAGCTGAAGCGCAGGCTTGAGGAAGGGGAGGGAGAGTGCTCTGGGCAGAGTGGAGCGTGGGAGTGAAGGTAGAGCCCCACAGAAGCCAGTGAGGACCAGGACATGCTTCCAGTGCAGGAGAGGGCTGCTCTGTGCAGGAATGCTGTACAGTTCCCAAACCTCTCCCTCTACTCTACCTGTAGCTCCTGGTTCTGTGCAGGGCCAGGTGTCCATGTTGTTGGGCTTGGGGGTGCCACAGAAAGCAGGTAAATGAATGCAGGTACACTCGCAAAGAATGTTTCTCACACAGTGGGACTGACCTTGTCTGGCCAGGAGCTGTCATGTGCTGACCCTGATGTAAATTTCTGGCTTCTGAACCTGGGAGCCCTGTTAGGAATCCTAGTCACTACCAGTTGCCTGGCCATTGTCCCCTGGCCATGGAGACACTGGGTAAAACTCCACTCTGGTGCCAGCCTTTTTATGTTGGCCAGCGTGAGTCCTTCCTGTTGGGGAGGCCAGCACCTGCCCCAGCACCTACCCCAGCTCATGGGCCCTGTCCCATCTGTGCCTATCTTCACAGGCTTCGCCGCTTCTGCCATTACATCGTCACTATGCGGTACTTTGAAATGGTCATTCTTGTGGTCATTGCCCTGAGCAGCATCGCCTTGGCTGCTGAGGATCCTGTGCGGACAGACTCTTCCAGGAACAATGTGAGTGGCAGGGTTGGTGGCCCCATCAGGCTGCGGGGTGCCCAGGGATGGGGGCGTGCAGGGCCTGTCTTCTTACATGACACACAACCCTGAACCACTCTGTTTGTCCTTCCTGTGGGTAGTGGAACCAAATATCTGAGGAGGCCACTTCCCCCAGCCCCCGTTACAGACGTCCTGGGGCAGAGCTGGGGTTTTAGTTTGTGGTGGGGGGCTGTTTTCAGAGGGACGCTGGTCTCAGAGACCCCACAGACCTGTCATCTGCTCAGAGGCCTGGTGGGGGGACCTGGAGCTCATGGGCCTGTCTCTGGCTCCTGGCCCAAGCCCTGAGAGAATCCCTGCTTCTGGTTCTAGGCTCTCAAGTACATGGATTACATCTTCACAGGTGTCTTCACCTTTGAGATGGTGATGAAGGTGAGATGTGGCTCCTGTGGCCTTGCACAAAGGTGCGTGGAGCGTGTACTGGCCATGTGCTCAGGGAGCGAATGTGTGCGTGTGCAGACGTGAAGGTGTGCTATGTGTGTGCGACGTGCTGCCCCTCACAGAGGGCTCTCCGCATCACACCAACCCTGGGCGTACTCCCAGAGGCACCCTGTCTCCCTGCACTTGACTCTGGAACACAGGTTATGGGCTTTCTTGAAATTGTGTGTGTGTGGACTCAGTCCTTTTTCTAGGATTGCCTGGCAGCCGCAAAGGGAGTGGGGGCAGGGGACACAGGGATCTTGGGGAGAGAGGACTTGGCTGGAGGACTGTTGGCTTTGAATGCTGAAGACTACATGTATCAGGAATCCAGGGTTTGATGACAGATTAAGTTCACCGTGTCATTGCAACCTCATCTTCCTCTGCAGGGCCCCTGTCCACATTTGGCAAGGGTGTCCTGAGGTACGTTTGCATAGATGTGTGTCCAGCTGAACATCTGTGACTTCAGTGTAGCCTAAGTTGTGGCAGTGTGCAGTATACTTGGGGTAGTTCCATGTGCGGAGCACTCACAAGGGTGCCCAAACATGTTACCTCTGCTATTCTGTGCACTTGCAAAGTCCCACACTGACACAGAACTCACAGATGATGAAGCTGAGGCTGAGTCATGGTTCTTGTCAGAATCACAGTATTAGGTGTAGCAGAGCCAGCATGAGAATGAAAGTCCTTGGAATTCTGACCAGCAGTTCTTCCCACTGCCTTTTTGAGCTGACCCTCCTAGGTCTGGGTAAGGTGTGAGCTCCTTGGAGCTGGAGCTGAGTGTGTGCCTGTCCCCAGCAGTGGAGGAGTGAGTGGAGACAGAGACTTCACCAACTCATGGGGATCCAGGAAGTTGGGCACCAAGCAGCCATGTACCTTGTGGAGTAGCTGGGTCGAGGCTTCTTTGAGGCCATCAGAGGCTGTAACCTACAAAAGTGTGGGAAGGTGGACAGAGCTGCATGGAAGTCTTAGATGTGCGTACTTGTGCACTGAGCTTCCTGCTGGAAGGGTGTGCCTAGACCATGCCTTGCCCCACGGCTGGAGCCTGGTTCTGCCTCGATTTCTGGAGTATACTGTTCCCTAATGTGTGTTTTTCCTTGTAGATGATTGACTTAGGACTGCTGCTGCACCCTGGAGCCTACTTTCGGGACCTGTGGAACATTTTGGATTTCATTGTGGTCAGTGGGGCCCTGGTGGCATTTGCCTTCTCGTAAGTAATCACATCTACTCTGGATCCTGTGGGTGCAATTCCAGGACCATACTGGGGTGTGGGGGTGTGGGAGAGAGGGAAAGGAACACTAATGGTCTCTCTAGATGTGGCTCTGTGACTGCCCGGGGGGGGGGGGACTGTCCCTGCCTGCTGGGACTGGACCGTGTAGGTCAGGAGGATCCATGGCCCATCTGTTCCCAGCACAGCCTCTGGTTCTGGGATGGGATGTGCAGCCTCTCTGGCTTTTTGGCCTCTGCCTTGGGGGGTCCTTTGGAGTATATTTACCTGCTTGGAGGTCAGTACCTGACCTGTGTTTTCTGCCCCAGTGAGAGCTGGTGGACCCCTTTCCTGTGGGGGTGAGAGTGTTCCTTTTGACCCTTGAATGAGTGATGTTCATCTGGGTGGGTAGCTGGGTGGTGGGTGGCTCCCTCAGGCCCTGTGAGGGAGTGGGGTGCTTGGGCAGGAGGCATGAGGGAAGTTGTGGGGTGCTATCCAGACACTGAGAGAAGTTTCTTCATCTTCCCTGCCCCCGGGGTGGGATACACTGACAGAGGCCCCAACTCTGCCTCCCTTAGCACTGACTCTGTTCTCTTTGTCTTCCTGTCGCTGGACTCCGGTAGGAGCTTCATGGGGTAATGCCTCCCCCTCCCCCTTACTGCCCGACATCATGGCACACCCACAGCCTCCACTGGCCTCACTCTCATCCATTCATCTCCACCCCATCTGGGCTGCATGCTGCCAGGAGCCATCCCCAAGCCACCTTTCCTGCCATGCCTCTGGGGACTGGGTGGGAGCTGGGGCTGGAGCTGGGGCTGGGCTGGGCTTGACACTGCCCTTGGTGAGCAGGGTATGAGTGATGGAGGCTCAAACTTTGGCTTGGAGGGCAATGAGGGCCCCGAGTGGGACTGCCAACTGTGCCCAGGGCCCAGGAAGCTGGACATGCCCAGGCACTTTCCCCTGGGACTCCTCTGGAAATGTGGCTTTCTTTCCTCTCTCCTCTCCTGGCCAGCCCCCTGAAGCTCCTGGTGTCTCCTCTGGGTGTACCAGTAAATCTCTTTCTATGACGAAGGAAGTGAGAATTTTGCCAGCATATCAGTGAGGGCCCTTGGGACAAGAACTGCAGCAGGAGTGTCGGAGAAGGCCCAGTTAGGAGCAGGGGCAGGATGGGACCCAGCCCTGTGGCCTGGAGCAGGCCCTGAGCCCCAAGGGTAGCCTGTTTTGGAGAGCTCTTCCCAGCAAGCCTCTGTCCTGGCCTGGGCTCTGTGAGCCTGGCGCAGGCCCCTTTGTTCCCTTCTTTTCCTGGGCCGAGCTGGGTGGGAGTGTGTGTTCAGGGAGTGCTGGGTGAGAAGTGGCCAAACCCAGTGTTTCAGAAACAGTTCCATCTGATTCTGGAATGTGGGGCTGGGCCCAAGTTCTCCTTTCCCCATGAGAAAGGCCTGGGCTGTACAGCCTGCTCCCCACTCCATCCAGGGCTTTGCTGGAACCCCAAGGGCAGTCACCGGGACAGGCCAACCCTATGCAGGCCAGGACCCAGGGATCTTGGTGGGAAAGGGCCTCAGAGTAGGCTGGAGCAGGGTCCCTGTGAGTGGCTGCTGCCCACTCTGCCTCTGAGCATGACCTCTTCAGCAGGATACCTTCTTTCACTGCTGGCCTACTGGGTGTAAGGGGCAAGGGCAGGGCCATCACCCCTCACATCTCCAATCAGGCTGCCACTTCCTGGATCCCTGACAGCAGAGAAAGCCATCTGGGTCTGCTCTGGCTTCTTCCATGAGGGTCCCGAATCTGGGTCCGCTGACCCCTGGCTCCATAGCTTGCTTCTGGTGCCTTGATTTTTCCCATATGAATTCCTGTCTCCCCATCTTTCATCTGAGTTTTTCTGTCTACTATTTTCTTGGTGACCTTAGTGTCTCTGTAGCTTCCTATGCCTGCGTGTCTTTCTGTCTCTCCCTATTCCTGCTTTCTGCTTCTGTTATTGCTCTGTCTAATTTTGTAACTGTCTCTTTCTTACTCTTTTCCTCCACCTCCCTCTTCCCTCTTCCTTTTGGTTTCTTGTTACCTGGAGGAGCATTGGACAGCTGAGGATAGGCAGAGGCCAGACAAATCCCTTTACTCCTGCCATGTGGAGTGAAAAGCAGGCTCATGACTATTGCAGTGCTGGGAGAAGGTTCTAGTACCACAGGCATGCTCACAGCCCTCACTCCTGGTCTGCAGGCACACGCCAGCCCCCTCAGTCCTCTTTGTTGCTGGAAGCTGATTTAGGGGTGGGTGTTGGGAGCACTGGAGAGATGGAAATAGCCACTGTGGTCTGCAAGAATGGGTTCTTCCAACTGTAAGCTCAACTGTCTCTGTGTACTAGTTGTGCTGACCTGGCCCTTGTCTGGCCCCTGTTCTCAGATAAAGCAGCTACAGAAAGAGACCTTTCTGCTCTGGGTGCTGTACCCTGCAGTCTCCAGACAAAATTCTCAGGGCATTGAGAGCCAGACCCCGTGGGCCGTGCGGGGCCAGGCATACCCACATGTTCTGCCTATCTGCATTAGTGGCTTCTCCCTTCTAGAGGATCCAAAGGGAAAGACATCAACACCATCAAGTCCCTGAGAGTTCTTCGCGTCCTGAGGCCCCTCAAGACCATCAAACGACTGCCTAAGCTCAAGGTTGGAGCCTGGAGTTGGGGCTTGAGGGGCATGCTGTGCGTCCGCATGTGCATGCATGTGTGTGCAGGTGGTACAAGAGTGTGTGTGAACAGGTACCTGCATGAGGATGGACTTGTTCAGCTCTAAGCACCTGCCTAAGGAGAGCTCATTCCCAACAGACTCCTGTAGACCCCTCTTTCTTATCCCGGCAGTGCCAGATGAGCGATGGTATTTTCCTCAGCCATGCAGGACAGGAAGGAAGGGGCTGCTGAGGGGGATGTGTTATGTGAGGGGCGTTGCTGGCACTCAGAGGCTCCAGAAAGTGACTGTGGGACTGGGCCCTGCAGGGTGGACACAACTGAAGTTCTGCATAAAGGAAGAGAATCGACCCAGTCTAGTGATTACAGGGCCCGCACCAGGCACAGAGGAGCACTCCTGACTTTGTACGGGGCATTCTCGTGAGGCCACGTGGAACTGCAGAAAGCATTTGCTTGGAATCTGATGTGGCCTAGGAGGGTACCCAGAGGCCCTCCATCCTTTCAGGAGTTACACCTGGTGCTGCACAGGAGGGGTGCTGCACACAGCACAGTGGCTTCATGGGTCCAGACCTCTGTGGACATTTGTAGCAGGACATCCTGAGAGGTGCTGCCTCAGCTCTGAGAGCAGCATTGGGTGTGCAGGGTCCAGAACCTGAGAGCAAGCCTGGTGGGTGGTGGTGAGTCACAGACCAGAGAGTCCCCTCAGGGCCCCAGAATGTGCCCAGAGTCCCTGTCCTGTAGTCCTTGGAGCCACAGCACTCTGCTGCTTCATCCTCAGTCTGCCCCACATCACTGTTGTTCATGAGTAGGAGCAAGACCAGGGGAAGGGCAGGAGGCTTCCACATCCCCTCTGAGTAGGCCCTGCCCCTCTGGGGCCCAACTCCCAACTGTAAAGCAAGTTCTTCTGGGCTTTCATCTGTCCCTTCTAGCACCTCCTGCCACTCTCATAAGTTCTGTATGGCTCCCCTCATGAGAGAGACAGCACAAGTCAACTTCCTGTCAAGTCGCCTGGTGGTGGCCTTACATGGGCAGGAGCCTGAGGGCCTTGCAGGGTCCTGGAATGCCCATGGTGTCTGGGTCTCAGTGGTCCTGAGGTTCTGAGCCTGTAGCCTGCCCTGCCCTGTCCTCTCTTCTGGTCCCCTTTCCTGCCCCTGTGTCTCCCCTTGACTCCTCCTCTCCCTGCCTCCCTTCTGGCCCTGCCCCGTCTCATGGCTCCTCCTTCCCTTGTGGTCCCACCCCTTCATCCCAGCTCTACCTTCTCACATGGTGGGGCCTTTCCTCTGGCCCCCACCTGTCCCTCACGGCTGTGTCCCTCCTCCCTGCAGGCTGTGTTTGACTGTGTGGTGAACTCCCTGAAGAATGTGCTGAACATCCTGATTGTCTACATGCTCTTCATGTTCATATTTGCCGTCATTGCAGTACAGCTCTTCAAAGGGAAGTTTTTCTACTGCACTGATGAATCCAAGGAGCTGGAGAGGGACTGCAGGTAAACTGAGGCAGGGTGCAAAGCCCTCAGCCCCAGATTGCAGAGAACCCCTGGTGTTCCCTCAGGATCGTGTGGGGCTGGTCACGTGGCTCAGGAGACGTATTTACAAAGCGGGGACACTGGGCAAGGGCTGGAGGGCTTGCCTGGGATGTGCTGATGCCATGCACAAGAGGGGGTAGTGTGCCCCATCCCCTCCTCTGAGGGGTCAGGGACCAGCTGTGCTCAGAGTACTTCTTCCTGCCAGCAGCTATCCAAGGAGCCACTATCCTGCACACACCTTGGCCATCAAGGTATGTCAGGGCCCTCTAAATCTTGCTGGAGGTCTAGGTTGGACCCTGAAAATCAGAGGGCTTGGCCATGGCTGCTGTTGCTTTCACTGTCCACAGGGTTTCTCAGATCTTCCTGGGCCTGGCCCTACTTTCAAGACAGACAGGAGAGGTGCCCTCAGGGAGGAGCCAGGGAGTGGAAGGGTGACTGTGTGCACCTAAACCTTCCCACCTGTGCAGCAGAGGTCCCAGGTGTCTCTGGCTGTGTGGATGTCACACTGCTCACTCATCCACTCTGTGGTGAAGGCTCTGGACAGATCTCCGGGGGGCTGTCACGAGCAGTGCTGCTGTGAGCATCCATGCGCACGTCCCATCTGGGTACTGTCTATCTAGAAGGGGTCGCAGGCTATGCACATGTCACTGATGCTGCCACATGCGTGTGCAGTGACACCTCTTCAGTGTGAACGGGAGCTCGCAGTACCCCACATCTTCCAGTGTGCCCTGTGTCCCTGTCTAGCTCTCCAGCCTTCCTGGGCTCTGTGGTTTGATTTGCACATGTGCTACCAGCAAGGTTGAGCCCCCTCCCCTGGGTAGTTTGGCTGCATAGCCGCCCTTCCTGGGCAGTGTCCATCCCAGTTGTTGCGTGTTGGTGTGTGGTTGTCTCTCTCTGTGGGTGGATTTGCAGGAGTGCTCTTATTTTCCTGGGTAGGCCTTTACTGATATCCCTCCTTTGTAGAGTGCTTTCTGCTCTTTCAGTGGTGCTTTTTAAAGAACAAGTTTTTGATTTTAACATAGTGCAACTTAACTTTTTTATTTTCTCATGTTCACTCCTCCATGTCCTGCAGTCAGGGGTGTTTTTTTTCTGACAGTGTTGCTTTTGCCTCTCATGTTGAGATCTGCAGCCCACTGGAGTTGAGTGTGTGTGAGGCAGGGCAAAAGGTGGACTTCCTGAAGGTGAGTGTCCAGTTTCCCAACACCACTGATTGGGCAAGATCATCCTTTACCTACTGCAATGGGATTCTTTGTTTTTATAGTTCACATGCCATGAAGCTTATTCACATAATCCTATTTAGTGTGTACAACTCAGTGACTCTTGTTATATTCACAGACACACATTTTTATCACCTTAAAAAAACCCCAAACCCCAAACCAAACAAAATAAAATCCAACCTGTACCTTTTAGCTGTCCTCTCTGTCCCTGTCCCTAGCCCTGTGTAGCTCTGAGCTGGTGTTCCGTGTCTGGATTGCCCTGCTGTGGACATTCCACGTGTGGAGGCAGACACTATGCAGCCCTCTGGGACTGGCCTCAGCACAGCGAATGGGGCTTGGTGTCCCTCTGTGCTGTGGTGGTCAGTGCCTTCTCTGTTCCCTGCTGTGCCATGGGGTATCTGTTCATGGGCCTGCTGATGGTAGGCCAGGAGTGGGCCTGATGGTGTCTGGGAGCTGTGTTGAGCTGCCTGAGGAGGTGCCAGGCTGTTTCTAGGGTGGCTGAGTCATTTTCCATTCCCATCTGAACTGGTGCCAGGGTTTCGCTTTCTCCAGGTCCTCATCAACACTTCTTATTTTCCTTCCTTTGTCTTCTGTTTTCATCATGTTCCTGTTCACAAAGTGGACTGATGTCTCAGGAGAGTTTTGATGTTCTTTCCCTCAATGGCTGCTGCTGTTGAGCATATGTTCAAGTGCCTGTCGGCCCTTTATATGTCTTCTTAGGAGAAATGGCTGTTTGGATACTTGACCCATTTTAAAAATTGGGTTGTCTTCCTATTGTTTGTAGTAGTACTTTGTATTTTCTGGGTACCAACCCCTGATCTGTAGATGACTAATAAATACTCTTCCCACTTTCATGGATCATCTTTCCACTTTCTTGATGGTGTCCTTTGAGGTACAGAGTTTTAAATTTTGATGAAGTTCAATTTACCGTCTTTTTTTCTTTTCTTGCTCATGATTTTAGTTCCATATCTAAGGCTCCATTCCTAAATATGAAGTCATAGAGATTTGTCCATTTTCTTCTGAGTTTTGTGGTCTTAGCACTTACATTTCGGACTTTGATCTTGAGTTACTTTCTATGTGTGGACTGAGGTAGGAGCTTGAGTCTGCTCCTCTCAGCCTGAGTGGAATGCAGTTCCACAGCACTGACTGTGGAGGAGCCTGCTCCTTCCATGTGGAGTGTACTCAGTACCCTCTCCAAATGCCAGCTGACCATGGACACAGAGGTTTGTTGGGTCCCTTAGGTTTAACTGTGCTCTTATGTGTGCTCCTGCCTGCAGGGGTCAGTATTTGGATTATGAAAAGGAGGAAGTGGAAGCTCAACCAAGGCAGTGGAAGAAATACGACTTCCACTATGACAACGTGCTCTGGGCCCTGCTCACACTCTTCACGGTGTCCACCGGAGAAGGGTGGCCCATGTGAGTGCCCGTGCAGCCTCAGGGTGCCAACCTGACCCGTCCTGCGGTGCCCTGAGCTTCCCAGGAAGCTCCCTTGACACTGCCCTCCCCTCAACCAGGGTGCTGAAACACTCCGTGGATGCCACCTATGAAGAGCAGGGTCCAAGCCCTGGGTTTCGCATGGAGCTATCCATCTTCTATGTGGTCTACTTTGTGGTCTTCCCCTTCTTTTTTGTCAACATCTTTGTGGCCTTGATCATCATCACCTTCCAGGAGCAGGGGGACAAGGTGATGTCTGAATGCAGCCTGGAGAAGAATGAGGTAGGTGATGCCTCGGGACCTTCTKTGATGGGCAGTGTGGGCAGAACACCAGGCTTTCCTTCCGCACGCACATCACTCATGGACAGCCTGGGCAGGCCTCCCTCTTCCTGTAACGGGAGACCATGTCTGGGCAGTTGGGGCCTACTGGAGGAGGCCCCGGGCTGCCTCTGCTGCCTGCTCTTTCAGTGTTATTGTTTGTAGTAGTACTTTGTAGCAGGTGCTGATGGGTTGGGCTCCGCCTGGGCTCAAGCTGCCCTTCTTTCCACACAGAGGGCCTGCATTGACTTTGCCATCAGCGCCAAGCCCCTGACACGGTATATGCCCCAAAACAAGCAGTCGTTCCAGTATAAGACATGGACGTTTGTGGTCTCCCCCCCCTTCGAGTACTTCATCATGGCCATGATAGCCCTCAACACAGTAGTGCTGATGATGAAGGTACGAAGCCCCATGCGGAGGAGGGGGTCAGAGCCCAGCTTGAGCCTGGGTGGGAGTGGATCTACTTCCTTTTGGCACATGCCGGGGCTGCAGCTGCCTCTGTTGTCCTGGCCAGCACAGGGTGCCTATGGGATGCTGTTCCTTTTGTGGTCTGGGAGCCAAGACAGTGAGAAGGCTCTGGGAGAACTCAAGAGAAACAAGGAGGGGTGGGCAGGTGTGGAGTTCTGGCTGCCTCCTGTGGCTGCCGAGCCCTCAGCCACTGGCACTCATTCCCGACAGTTCTATGATGCGCCGTATGAGTATGAGCTGATGCTGAAGTGCCTGAACATGGTGTTCACCTCCATGTTCTCCCTGGAGTGTGTGCTGAAGATCATCGCCTTTGGGGTGCTGGTATGTACCAGCCTTCTGGTGGCCTGCATGGTGGCTCCCTCTCTGTTGGGCAGCATTTGGGGCTCACAGTTTGGAGCTGGGAATTCCCCAAGTCTCCAGAACACGTGTGATTCATTGGGGACCCCAGGGAAGGGGCTGCTCCTACACTCTCAGCTGCCTGAATCTTGTCCTGGTCCTGGGTGCATGCCGGGTTGGGACCCTCCTCTCTCTACATGTGGCTCTCAATTCTGCATCTGCCCGGGCTGGAGGTGTCTACTTGTCACGGGCCTTCTCCTGGGATCTGTCACCCTTGCTTGCTTCTTGATCATGGACAGTGTGCCCAGTGGAGCCCTTGCCAGTCAGTGGCACTAACTGCCCTTCTTTTTCTCTAGAACTATTTCAGAGATGCCTGGAATGTCTTTGACTTTGTCACTGTGTTGGGAAGTATTACTGATATTTTGGTAACAGAGATTGCGGTAAGTAGCATTTCCTGCTTCCCCCAGTGGGGCCCTCACATGGTTTCCTTCTAGAGGGTTCTCTCCTTCGTGCGTCTCCAGGTCCTGATGTATTTGTTCCCTCCTGAACCACCCAGGATACCTGGGGCAGGGGAGGCTCCTTTCCAGAGGAGTACCTTGGGGATTGGGTGTTGTGGCCCCCGATGTCTTCTGTGTTGGTGGCCTGAGGATCACCTGGAACTCCATGGTATTACGTGATCAAGAAGACATGAATGTTTAGGTTTATAGGTGTCTACTGCTAGTTGCATCTAGCAACTTGGTCTCAAAAGTATGTAAGCCGCATCTAGTAAGAATTTATATTTAAGGCCTGGTGATGTGGCTCAAGCAGTAACGCGCTTGCCTGGCATGCGCGGGGCGCTGGGTTTGATCCTCAGTACCACATAAAAATAAAAAAATAAAGATGTTGTGTCCACCGAAAACTGAAAAATAAATATTAAAAAATTCTGTCAAAAAAAGAATTTCTATTTAAAAATCAGGTTTGTGCCACGTGTATGTATATGTGCACATAGTTGCTATCTGGAGATGTTCCTATCAAACACTTACGGATGGTATCTTGCCGTAGTCCGGCTGCAGCAAAATAGCTGGGGGGTGACGAATAACTTGTGCACGTTGATACAGCAGGAATAGGAGCTGTTTATTGTAGGGCAACAGAGCTATTTATACATTTTGTACAGCTTATCTTAATTAGCATAAACTAGATACATCAATCAACCAATAAGGAATCTCCACACTTAATGGCTCACTTTTGTTACTTCTCAAACCACTCCCTCTGACATTTTGCCAGGCACCATCCAGACTTGTTTACGAACTCTAACATTTCTCTGGCCAAATACCAGGTGTTATTTTTGACTTATTTACAGACCTTAACAAACCATAACCCTAAACCTAACAGTAACANTTATCTTAATTAGCATAAACTAGATACATCAATCAACCAATAAGGAATCTCCACACTTAATGGCTCGCTTTTGTTCCTTCTCAAACCACTCCCTCTGACATTTTGCCAGGCACCATCCAGACTTGTTTACGAACTCTAACATTTCTCTGGCAAAATACCAGGTGTTATTTTTGACTTATTTACAGACCTTAACAGTATCTAAAAGTGATCAGTGTTGGGAGGTAAATTCACCTCAACAGATTCCAAACTCTTGAATCATGAAGTACCATTTTTTATAGTGTCATGAGTTATTGGAAACAAAATGGCAGAAAACCTCATTGATTAGGCCCCAGGTTGAATTCTCTGGGAGCAAACCCTGAAATGAGGATTCATGTAAAAGTTACTTCTTAAAAGAAGAACCAGTGGAGGGGCTGAGAAAATGGCTGGGAAAGAGGAAGAGGACCAGCGTTGCCACATCTGGAGCCAAATCTTCTGGAGATGATTGGGGTTACCCCTCTTGAGAGGTCCCTGAAGGGAAAAGCAGCTGCATGGGGCTAAGTGTCATCCCCAGGCACCCCCTACTCCCCAAGAATACCACATGCAGGTGACACAGACTCTGGCAGCACTGATGCCGTTGGCAGTCACTGGCCGCATGGTCACAGGATTGTGTTGGAAAGCAGGCTCCTGTGGTCCCCCTCTGCTCTACCCTTGCTCATTGGGTGTACTGTGCATTCTTGAGATGGTGCTAGTCACAGCCTGTGGGAGACTGGGTAGGGCTCCCTGCTGTGTGGACCTCTGCAGAGGGGATGTCTTCATCTCTGCATCACTACTTCCAGAGCCCCTGACCTGTAGCTGGTCTTCTGTTGCTCTGGTGGGTAGCATGATGAGGGGTCCCAGACTCTGAATAGCCAAGACCCTGCTTGCCATCCTTTGTCTGGCTATGGCTGTGTAATGGTCCAGTCACAGTTAAGATTGGCCAGAGGAGCATCCAGGAAGGCCCCGGGGAACCTCTGATTCCCAGACAGATCTTCCCTCCCCTACTGTTAGGCAGCGTCTCTGCTCTCGTGGTGAGCAGGGATGGATACCTGGGCACTCAGGGCTCTGCACCGCCTGAGGACCCCTGTCAATGTGCTGCGCAGTTGGCACTGACTGTGGCTAGCCCAGTTCTGCTGAGAGGATCTTGGCCATCGTGGCTGCTCCCTTCAGAGATCCACCATATGTGCACTGGGACCAGTGAGGGCAGAGACTGGCCAACATCAGCTTGTCCAACACTGGTCTCCAGTGGCCTCTGCTTTGATGGGCAGCTGTGTGTGGCCTAGTGCCCAGCACACCATGCCCCTCTCAGGGCTCATCTGTTTGTCTTCTCCACACTTGACCAGCCTCTCCCTCTGCTGGGACCCTGTAATCCTAAGCAGGATGACCTCTTTGTCCACACTGCCTCACCAGTCTCTCTGAGGCTGTCGCTGGGTGGGGCCCTAGTGAGGTAGCAGGCCTGTGGACATGGGCAGTGCCAGAGCATCCTGGTGCTGTCTCCCTGGGAGCCACCAGCTGGTGGTGCTTGGGTCTTACACGTGGGTCTTTCCCAGCATCTTCCTGTATCTTCTGTGCCCCACTCAGGTTTGTCCAAGGACAGGCGTCCACAGTTCTGTTGCTAATCTGGCCAGTGAGCAACTCCCGGGGCTCTTCCCTAGAGTCTGCTTCCAGAGAAGGTTCAACCCTGTAATCCAAATGCAACTCATTAGGAATACTTCCCAGGAGTACCTGGTAAGGAGGGGGAGGAAGGCAGTGTCAAGGAATTCCAAGGCACAGTGCTGGCCTTCCTCCATGGGGCCCCCAGGTAATGTGGCCCTCACATCAGTGTTGTCCCAGCCAGGCAGGAGTATACAGCTGTGTGCCTCCATCTGCTGAGAAGGTTCTGGCAGCTGCAGGAGCCTGAGCATCCAGAGTCAGGCTTTCTGCATGAGAAAGCATGGGAATCCAGTGTGGCATAAGTAGCAGAGATCAGAGGGGTGTGGCTGCAACAATAGTGTGCAAGGAACCTTCCCAGCGAGTGATGGATCAAAATGGAGTAATGATGTGAATTCAAAATACATCCAACAGAAAACAGTGACAATACCATACAGTAAAGCTCATGAGACACAGCCTGGCAGCACAGTTGGTCCTCAGCATCTGTGGGTCCTGCCTCCAACCAACAGATTCAACCAACCACAGATCAAAGATATTTGAAAAAAAATTGCATCTGTACTGAACATGGGCCAACTTTCTTCCTGCCATTATTCCCTGAGCAATGCAGCACAGTGACAGTTTACAGAGCATTTTCATTATCTTAGTTGTTCGAAGTCATCTAGAAATGATTTAAAGAACACAGAGGTATGTGCATAGGTTATGTGCAAATACTGTACCATATTATATAAGGGACTTGAGCCTCTGGGATGCTCCTGAGACCAATCTCCATAGTAACTGAGAATGACTGTACTTGGAAAGAACTTCCAACTCCTAAATGCTTATATTCTAAAAATAGTTCAATGTGCAACTCGATGAGTTGGACATTAATATAAGTTAGAAAAAGAAGAGCAGAGGGGCTGAGGCTGTGGCTCAGTGGTAGAGCACTTGCCTAGCACATGTGAGGCACTGGGTTTGATCCTCAGGATCACATAAAAATAAATAAATAAATAAAGATATTGGTCCATCTACAGCTAAAAAAAGAAAGAAAGAAAAACAACAGAATAAGTTTGAATAAAGAGCAAGAAAACATAAGAATAGAAATTAAGAAGGGGCCATGGCTGGGGTAGAGCTTAGTGGTAGAGCACTTGTCTAGCACATGTGAAGCCCTGGGTTCAAATCTCTGTACTGAAAAGTGAAAGCAAAATGAACAACAACAACAAAAACCCCACAGAATTAAAGAGAAAAGAAACACACAGAAGAGAATCAGTGAAGTGTGTGTTCTTGGAAGACTTAGAAGTTGACATACTCTGGCTGGTCACCCAAAGAGAAGAAGGTCATTAAGTGGAAGGTGGGGTGAGTGGTGGCTGCAGACGCACGGGAGGGAGACACCCAGATTGCTCCAAACCACTTCTGCTAGTGTGTTTACAGACTTAGGTACATGAATAACTACTAGAAAAATACAAGTGATCAAATCTGACAGAGATGAGATAAAACCTTAAGTGGTTCTTTATCGCAGCAAGAAAGCCACTGAGTCCCAAAACAATCTTCCCATAAAGAAAACACCTTGCTCTGATGGTCTTGTACATGAGGTTTCTATCTAAAATACAAGGAATGATTATTTCCGGTCTTAGACAATTTTTTCTAGAGACTAGAAAAAGAATTAACATTTCCTAACTAATTATATATGCCTAATATTAGCTCAATACCATTATCTAAGAAATAATATCACAATCCACACTTACTTATTAATGAGAGATGCAAAATCCTAATCAGTATGTAAGCAGCTTAAATCTAATAGTGTTCAGAAAAGAAAATATGAGTCAGGCTTTTTCCAGGAATTCAAGGTTCAACTTGGAAAAGCTATTACAATAATTCACATTAACGTATCAAAGGAGACTATTAATGTGATTGTCTCATGGATTCAGAAAAGATCTCCAATAAAATTCAAATTTTAGTCATGATAAATGTTATTAGCAATCAGGAATTGGTGACTTCATAAAGGATAGCTACAAAGAATCCTGTGCACACATTATGTCATGGTGAAATTTGGAAAGAATTCCTTTCGAAGTCAGGAAACACCGTGCTGTCTGCTGTCTGTCTTCCTCCAGGCTGAGCTTCAGGCCTGACCAGCAGTAGACTGCCTGTTGCCTCATGAGGACGTCAGCTCCCAGATGCGCAGCACAGCACCTGCTGCTCTGTAGGTCTCCCGTGGGGGCTTACTGAATGAGTAGGACAAATAAATAAACAAATATGTAAGGGCTAGGAGGGAGTGAGCACAGTTGTCAGCCAGGTCCAGGGGGGTCTAAAACCGACTGGAGTGTGCTGGAGCATTCGACTGGCCAGAGCACGGTTGCAGAGGGTAGATGACTCAGTCGGCATTCCTGACAGAAACCTAATAAAATCTGCACAAAATCTTTAT